CCCGCCCCCCCCCCGTCGTTCAAAACAGACAATGACCCCCATATATGCGGGCCTGTCCATCAACACGCCACACGGCCTCGGCGTCGTCGAAAGCATCCGCAACGACGGCATGATCGTTGCCAGGCTGGCGGGGACAACAACAGCGGGGACGGCGGCGGCGGGCGGACCGGGGTACATAGGCTACTTCCACCCGTCGTCGGTCTGCGTTGCCCCCTCTCCTTCTTCCCTCTTGGCGGCGCCGGCGAAGGCTTCACCATTCTCCCCTCTCTCCCCTTTCACCGGGGGCGGTGGTGGCGGTGCGAGGAAGGGGTCATCATTCTTGCCGTCCGCGGCCGCCGTGCCCCCCCCGGGGATGTTCAAGCCCGTGTCCCCGGGGGTGGGCTTCGGTGGCGGTGGAACCAGGAGTGCTGCCGCCGTGCACGCGGCGAATCAGCCCGCTACGCCTATGCTGCCGCCTTCCCTCCAAGCGCAACGGCTTGAGCAGCAAGCTGCCCAGATTCGCCGGCAGCAGCTTGAGCAGCGGCAGGCGGCAGACCGGCCGTTCGCGAGCACGCCGCCCCCGAGCAAGAGAAGGCGTTCCGCAGAGGGAGGCTTTACATTCCACCACTAACCAGCCCAAGACCTTTCCAACGTTTCTGGTGGGTGGAAGAAGAGGGGGGGGGGGCCACTTTCTCTATGGATGTCACAGTCTTGTAAGACTATAGATCCCCGGCATCCCTGCAGTTCCGGACCGGTGTCGTTGCACCTAGCGCGAGGGGCGTTCGACTACCGGCATCAAAGGCCATGTTCATGCCGAGAAGGCGGGGGCGGCGGGTACACAGACGGGAATTATCGATCGAACGCGCAAAGGTTGGTGCTGCACGGACTGCTGCCGGAGTGTCAAGCAGCAGCGCGGCAGGTGGGAGGCGGGGCGGAGTGGCCCGGGAGGCGGACTAGGCGTTCTTCTTGGTCTTTCCTCGTTCCAACTCGACAGGCTGCAGCGTTTGGCGCCGCCGGCGATGGATGGATGCCCAACAGTAGACCTTCGCACCCAAGCTCTGTTCTCGCTCCGCAGAGGCCATGTCTTCTGAAGGACACGAGGAGGGGGGGACACGCGGTCGATCAGAAGTGAATAGGTGGGGGGGGAGGGGGAACAAGTCCACCCGGGGTTTCCTCGTGGTTGACTCTTTTTTTTTGCGCGGGAGACAGTTGAGCTCGTACAAAAGGTTAGCTTTGCCCGGGTGCTTGTATGTTGATTCAGCAGTGGAGGCAGCCTGGGGCTGTAAAACAATCGAGGTTTTCCTTATATTGGAGCGTGCACCTTGATGCGGTCTGGCAGCGGGGCGGTTGCCCGCGTTTGCAGGGGGGCGCTGTGCAGCCATTCCTTCGCCTGTTTTAGGGGTGGTGTAGGCGGCGTGGTATATCTACCCGCCACCATTTCTCCTTGGACGTGTTATATTGAATAATGTTGTGCTGCGCGTTTTGGAGACGAAGTTGGCGGGACTTGAGCATGCACTGAACCGTGCGCGGGAGCGTGTGCTTGTGTGTATGTCGGTGAGTGAGGGCCTGCTTCTGCCCAAGAAGGACGGGCTAAGGGGGAAGGAGATTGAGGAGCATCTAGCTTCTTTAGTTGGCGGTTGTTGTTGTGGCCATCGTGAGTAGATATGTCTTGTCTTGGGAGCATGGCTGCTTGGCGAGTTGAACGGTACACTGCACGGACCGGCATGTGTCGTTTGTGGTCCTCATTATTTCGTTTGTTCCCGGCGAAAGTATACGTATCGAAACCATACAGTTAGCTCCAGGGATTCCGCGGTTTCCTTGACCCTGTAAGAATGTTCGTCAAAGAGGACACGACGAAGAAGAGAAAACGCGTGCGGCACTTTGGCACGTCCGTCGTTGGCCGTTTTTCTGTGAACAAACAGGCGTTATAGTACGCCGCTTTATCGTTGTTGTGGTTGTTCGATTTGTCGGGCTTGATGATGGCAGATATTGCGTCGATGCCTATCGTTGTCGTTTTTCCCGAAGTCCTTTTTCCTCAAGCAAGTGACCGATGTACACATCATCGCTGCATTCATGGTGTCGTGCGTGCGGTGTCAAATCTGGTTCTTGCTAGTGTTTTTAGTACTGCCTTACTCGTTCCTCTGTGGTTGTGTCTGCTGCTGCTGCTTGTCTCCTAGGTAGGAGGATAGTTCGTGTACGTATCATAGCACTATCTTTCCATGTATGTCTGATTCATTGGTCAAGACTCAAGAACGACCGTAGGGGATAGGAGCGGGGCACCCATCCACCCATGGGGTGAAGGCGGAAGCCCCAACAACGAGGTTCGGGAAATATCTAAAGGAGTGGTGCTTGTCTTCACTCTGTCGTCGCCACTGAGGGAGAAGTGTCCGATATGTGCATTGAGTCGAGGTCGAGGGTCTCAGATGGAACCGATACGATGGGGTGGTGGTGTGGGTTGACGTCATGCTCCCTCTCGTGTATTCCGTGAAGCACCACATAGGTATCATTGTAGAGCGGCGGGAGCTCGTCAACGGCTTTTCACCGGCTCTCGCCCGGCGATAAGAGGTTGTCCCGTTGTGTGTAGTAGCCGCAGCCGTTTCTTCGGCTGATTTCTGTATACTTCTTGCATGTCCACAGACGATAGTGAGTGGTGTCATAGCACCCTTGTCCCGAGAAGCTTTCTTGTGGGCCAGGACAGTGTTTTTTTTTTTTTTCTCCCATCATTGGACTCTGTCGTCTGCCCCTCTGGCCCCTATCCTCCTCCGTCCACTTCTACTAGCTAGACGACCCAACCGGGGTCACATAGGAGGGGGGGATGGACCCCCTCCTGCGGTTCATGCCTGAGGTATTTTTATCGCGAGAAGGGTACAGCAATCCTTTCCCGTGAGGGGGGGGCTCGTGTGCTTGGTTGTTGATCACGCGTCCAGCCGGAACACGCCATCATCATCATTTCCTTGCAGAGACGCTACAGGGGCGCGAGTGGTTCCCGCCACAAAGTTGTTGCTCTTCGGGTAGTTAGTGTTGCTCGGTTCGTGTTTATTGGATGGGTTGAAACTTAGGTTGGGTATAAATTTACCAGGTAGGTCGGGGAGGAAGAGTATTATAGCGGTGCAGATTGGAGTAGTGGTGGCTACTAGATTACGAAGTATCTTAGCGGTAACGGGTAGCGTTGGTAGAGGTAGCGATGTAGGGAGTTTGATGAGAACAATAGGGTGTTGTAGTGGCTGGAATCGACAAGGTTTTAGATGTGAATATGATGCACGATGTGTCCTCTGTCGCTGCTTCTTTGCGCGAAGTGATCTTTTCCTTTTTCACATTTTTCGACCTGTGGTGGAAGATTCGTGAGCCAGAAGAAGAGATTTTTAAATATTGATGAAGAAAAATGCATTCCGCATTTGTGTACGGCTTCCTCTTTTTTTCAGCTTTGAAAACCCCTGGGGGGGGCGGGGTCTCGGTAGGAGATTTAGTTGCGATGATCCTGGTGGTTTTGACGTCAAATCCGTCCTCCAAATACATATTATCCAAATGTGTCCAGAGAGTTTGGCTTTGCTGAAGAAAATAAAGCTTAAGGGATGAACAGACAGACAGGAGAAGGACCTGGGCCGTTCATCACACGCACGTATGTGTGCGCTCTGCTTCAATGGGCGGTACTCCCTTCATTAGGATACCGCTTTCTGCCAAGCGCTAGATTTGCCCGGCCGAATATACATGCCGAACACTCGGCATTGTTACTGAGCATGATGATTGTACTGAGCGTGATGACATCCCGTTTGTATTGTGCTAAAACTCGATGTCCTTACCGGCCTCGAACAGGGCGACCGGGCATCCTTAACTTATTATGCGGCCTTGGACGGGGGGCGGGGACGCACGATGCTAATATTTTGGGCGCATGGTTTGATCGGTGGATTGGCGTACAAACGTTCAAGAGAAGTAACCAGAACGGGTTTACCCGGATGGATTATCAAAATTCAGGGTACACTTGGAAATCAACACGATACCAATCTCCGACAGCTTCCGCCGTAGGTCGCAGCGAAACCAGTAAACAGCTGTGTCCTGTGCCTTGGAAGCATGATGCATGAGGCAGGTCGTGCCCGTTTTATCTCTCTGTGCTTCTCTCTCTCTCTCTCTCTCCGTGCTTTTACTGATAATCAGCGCCACACCGAATGAACTCGCGCGTCAAGAGAGTCCGACCCTCTGTCGAGAGGGGCCGGTATAATATGGAGACGGTGCCCATCAACGAGCGTTCGTTGTTGATGGTTTGTATGAATGTGCGGTACACGTTTTTTTCTACGGGTTTTCATGCCAGAGCGTCGCGCGCCGGAATGATATGCCCACTTCTGGGTACAATAGTAACCAGTGTCGGTTACACTTCAAGGGTCGAGATGCCAGCGCCCGTTGAACCCGATGGAGGTTTCTCCAAAAGTGGGTACGATGGTGTTTCGGCCAATCAGCTGGCTGCATGTGGGTGTGTATGAATAAATATGTTGAGTTCTAAGTGTACTCTACAATGAATGGTGATGAACCGCCCGGCCGTTTCTGGTTATTGGTCAACTTTCGACAGCAACAGGATGCAGTTTCTTTCGCAAGCCGTTTGCGATGCCTGCGATGCGGCACGACGGACGGACGGACAGGGATTTATTCTCTTGTTTCATCAATGTCACTCTTCCCTTCTTCCCCTCGCTGCCTCAGCAAGGTTTTGCTCATAGGCATGGCCCATAGCGAGGGGGGGGGGTCTTTCTAGCGAGCAGGGCTAGACTCACCCTCAAGGGACCGGTACCTTCTTGCTTCGGCGCACCCGCTGCGAGGCGTGCGTAGTGGTGGAGTTGGGTCGGCACTGGTGCGTCAGGTACAACGAAAGGCAGACGCGCGGGCCTCCATGGCCGTCGGTTGGTGTCGGCAACAATGCCCATCTCATCTTTGTGCGCGGAGGCAGACACCATCAGAAAGGTGGACGGGCACTATGTACACGGCCCTAGGTTTGCTAGAGGGAGCTGTACTGTCTCAGTAACCTGGTTTTGCCATCAAAGGAGGAGAGGACAGGTGGTGACGAGCTGATTGGGCTGATTGACCCTTCGGCGCGAGAATTTTCAGACCAAGAACCCTAAGTGCAACGAGGGAGAAAGTGAGGAACCGACTGGGAAGGACAGCAACGAGAGCGTGTACGAAACGGACCGGGTCGAGTTTGGTCGTGCTAAGACTGGCCACAGCGGCACCTGAGCAGCGGAAGCGGAGCATGCGGACGGCACGCACCGTGGCGCACGGACAAACATCTCTTGTGTTTTCATTTTTTTTTTTTCCGTTTTTTTCCTGTTTTTTTTTTTTCTCCCATCATTGGACTCTGTCGTCTGCTGCTCTGGCCCCTACCCTCCCCTTCTTCTACCAGCTAGACGACCCAACCGGGGTCACATAGGAGGGGGGGGTTGGACCCCCTCCTGCGGTTCCTGCCTGAGATATTTTTATCGCGAGAAGGGTACATACAATAATCCCTTCCCTCGCGACGTGTATGTATACTGTTGTTGTTGTTGTTGTTGTTGTTGTTGTTGTTGTTTTCTTCACTCACATTAAACTCGTGTCAAGTGCTAGTAATCCCAAAATATAGCAAACACTCGGTCCATGGACACAAAAATGCTAGAGCCACCAGAAGATCTAAAGAACACGCACACTATTAGCAAAAAAAGGGTACACAAGCCCGAGGAGGTACACCTACAATTCCTGCAGCACGTTTGTTTGCGTGCTCACAACTGAATGAACTGCACGCCCACACACTACAAATCGACTACTACAGCAGCAGCATCACCCCCCTTGTCCCGCACTTAACCGAAATGATTGTTTGTCTGCAGCGTACTGATGTCTGAAGTGCTGTCTGTACAATAATAACACCATGGTGCATGGTACACAAGCTCGGGGCATGCAGCTGCGGTCTGAAGTGCTGTCAGAATGAGTCCGTGGACATACAATGAAGAACAACCTGTAAGATAAAGTATCACAGTTAGACTAGTCAGCGCTGACTAGTCTAATGGTGTAACTTTATCGAATAATAAACGATATGCTCAGAGCTCATTTGCACCCGAACAACCTGTAAGATAAAGTATCACAGTTAGACTAGTCAGCGCTGACTAGTCTAATGGTGTAACTTTATCGAATAATAAACGATATGCTCAGAGCTCATTTGCACCCGAACAACCTGTAAGATAAAGTTACATTACTACTTTATCGAATAATAAACGATATGCTCAGAGCTCACTACTTGCACTCGCCTGGATCACATTTTTGGGTTGAGAGAGTAGGACCTCCGGGGACGGACCCCTCGCTAAACGCTGCCAGAAATACTTAATGGTGCTTGGAAAAAGTGACCAGTCGGGTTTAGAACCCGTGCGTGAATCCTTTATCGCTAAATGTTAAACCATTAGTAATAGTTAGTGTAGTCAGCGCTGACTAGTTCTAGGTGCACTTTTCATATATATATACTAAGTATATACATAAAGAAAAGTGATCCAGCCGGTATTTGAAATCGTGCGGGTATCCTTCGTAAGATAAAGTTGCACCATTAGACTAGTCAGCGCTGACTAGACTAACGGTGTAACCTTGTCGAATACAACTAACCAAAGCCATCATTGCAATTGATAATCAACCGAATCTATCCAGATCACCTGTGTTAGACACAGCAGTGTCAACATCGACACTGACTAGGAATCGTTCCACATTGAAGGGGTCTTCCACGATGCAGGTACACAATTAAGGCACCCGGGATATCCACGCCATCTCTGCCGCGTCTCTCTACTACAAAGAAACCAGTGACGACGTCATCACACACACCCGGCACCTATATTCTATACCTCCTACCTATTCCCCTTCTTCCCCTCGCTGCCTCGGGAAAGTTTTACGTAGTAGGCATGACCCACAGCGACGGGGGGGGGCGGGGGCATACTCATAGCCGTGCATGCCGTAGTCGTTAGACCATTGACCTCGCATCCCTACAAAGCCGGGACGGAGCACGCCGGGTTCTCACCGGACCAGGCTCTCACATCACCAAGCGCGAAGCGCCGTGAGATATTCGGCGAGTCGCATGAAGGG